CCCATGCAAGAAACCACGGGCGACATGAACGATGTTCTGCCCGATGAGCTCATGGAGTCGCCGGAGGAAAGGTAAAGTGCTCGGAACTTGGAACTTTGTGGGGTGTACTATATTGAAACGTGTCAGTCACGAAGTCGGACAGGACATAACCACCCCTTCTCCTTGGCAATAAACAGTTGGTCCTCGCCAAGGGTTAATGACGTCAGTGCACCACGGTCGCACTGCTCCAACTCAGTTAATGACTTGTCAGTTATAATGTTTCGAAAATGCAAAAAGGATGGCATTTAGGACCAGCTAAGGGCTTTTTTAATACATGGTTTTTATTCATGTGGACTTATTGCAAAAAGTCATATATATATATATATATCGTAAATTTCAAGTAGTAGATTCTTAACAATTTCTTTTTATGTCACAAATGATTTGTAAAATTTAATGTAGACAGAAGTTTAGGTTAAGAATCGCGTTTATTAGGGACAATAAACATTCCAAAGAAACGAAAGAAAATTAGTCATAAGAGACTACTAAATGTCTGATTAAGCTAAGTTAAACTGTCCTACCCCTGCAGATCCCTCTGGATGCTATTTTTGGAATTGTGCATCCTTTGGTTGCATGCTTTTTTCCCCTGACTTGGTATTGAACTAACTAAGCCAACCTTCGCCGTACACCCGCTGCATAGTGAACCCAAAAAAAACCTTTCGGCCTTGTTTTTTCCGTACGTGCCAGTGAACAATAACATGCAATGTGTGTGATGCCAGGAAATGTGATCCAATAATAATGTTATTACTTCTCCGTGGCTCTGACTTGTTAAAGTGTGAGATTTATTCTATGGATTAGCATTGTGCTTTAATATTCATTGTATATTTCGCACGATAATCACATTCAGGGGGCACCACCCACGAAATCAACATGCATCCGCACCGCAGCTGTATCTTTAGCTGGGCAAACACCAAATTCGAGATTGTGATTGAGAATGGGTTTGCTAAGACTGCGTCACAATGCGTCACATTTAAGCATTATCTGTATCTTTATCTGGTTTTCTCTCTGCAGTCGTAAAAAGCTTATCTATCGGTTGCTGCTACCGAAGTTTACTGCCGCACAAGGCGGCAAAACATCACATCCCATCCCATCCCAAATCAGCCTGCTTAATCACAGCATTAAGTCACCTGAAATTGACTCACATTAGTCCGGAATTAGCGGAGGCTGAGGTGTTCAATTAGCCAGTTTGAAAGTTTGTATTTCGGCGTGTGGCGTCGAAAGTTGTTAATCACCTCAGCACAACTTTTGCACACTTGTACACCTCTGAATAGTATATCGGTTTTATACTCAACTTTTTAAAATGATTCATATGTAATGTGCACATTAATTCTCTAGCCAATCAAATGCAGTTTTACAACTTTAGTTGGATTTAATTGGGTGACCCATTTTCCTGCGCCCATTCCAGTTCTAATTTTATACTTTTATCTGGCAATTGTTACCTTCAAATTTAGCACACTTATAAAAAACAAAAGCAAACATCCTAACATGGGTTTAGCACGCATTTTAAATTTATAATTCCCCAAGCTGATAAACATGATGCTCATGGCTTTTTGTATTTTGCGAAATGAATTTCAAACAGTTGGGCTTGTCGGCTTTAGCAGCTTCTGGTCGTGACAGACATTATGTTTATATGCTTATATGGCCTGGAATTGCGTGACGCCACACAATAATCGATCGAACAACACCCTTCCCCAAGCAACGCAATCAAAATGAGCTTCTTATAATCGCCTTTTCAATAGTTGTATGCGTAGAACTTGAAAAGGCAGAGGCCAGAGAGTAAACATATTGAAAGAAATCCCAAATAGAATCAGCCATGCGTTTAATCAATTTTACAATCGATCTAAGGTAGAATTGTTTGCTCAGAAGATATCGAATTTCTGAGAAATGTTAAGGTGCAGCAAATATTGACTGCGTACTTCTTGAAAAATTAAAATCTCATGTTAAGACTGTATACAAATAAAAATACCATACATACAATTTTATACATATAATATAAAATTAAAACTGTAAGTTCTCATTGAGGACCATATACTCTTATTTAAGAAAATTTTCTGAACTACCTAAAATAAAGCACATGTGATATATATAGAACTAACCTCTAGTTTATTTCCTTCCAGATACGAGCGCCTATTGCGTCGCGCCCAAGTCGAGGACTTGACGGAGGTCTCGGGCATCGGTTGCCTTTACCAGAGCGGTGTTGACCGTCTTGGTCGGCCAGTGATTGTGTTCTGCGGCAAATGGTTCCCCGCCCAGAACATTGACCTGGAAAAGGTACTCCTTTGCAGAGATTATCCATTTAAAAATACTAATTTGTGTTATTTTGTAGGCACTGCTTTATCTGATTAAGCTACTGGATCCCATCGTTAAAGGAGACTATGTCATCTCGTACTTCCACACGCTGACATCCACAAACAACTATCCGTCGCTGCACTGGCTGCGTGAGGTCTACAGTGTGTTGCCCTACAAGTGCGTCCCTTTGTTTTCAGACTTCCGTCAAAGATCTTTTAACTAACATAACCGTATGAGTTACAGGTACAAGAAGAACCTGAAGGCCTTCTACATAGTGCACCCCACTTTCTGGACTAAGATGATGACCTGGTGGTTCACCACGTTCATGGCGCCAGCCATTAAGGCCAAAGTGCATTCGCTGCCAGGTGTGGAGCACCTGTACTCAGCCATCACAAAGGATCAGCTGGAAATTCCCGCCTACATCACCGAGTACGACATGGCGGTAAGTCGGAATGCACTATCGATTAATTATATTTTAATTATATATTTTATTAATTTCTTTACAGACCAATGGCCTGCATTACTTCAATCCTGTGCCGACTGCCTCGTAGATAGCGGCCATCGTTGCTGTCTAGGACAGCGGGCAGCCACAATAGCATATACATACATATATATAGATACATACACAATTGTGAAGTTTTTATAGATTTTATAGAACGTATTTTGTTTTCTTGATAAGTAATATTTGTTTACTTGCGCATAACTTTCGATGTTGTCGTTTATCGATTGACTTGCCGCAAGTTTTGTTGAACATTGTGTAGCATACTTTTATGGGAGTGGCCTTGTCGCCCGATCCCTCAAACCAATTAGCTAAAACATAAATCGGCAGCCCCAAAAACCAGATAATTGTGTAAAACATTCTTATGAAGTGCATGTAAATTAGTTAATTAGTTGGCATCGGCAGAACAAAAACTTGTTAATTCGCTAAAAATAGAAGTTGAACTATTGGTAGGAGATGGAGAGGGTAGATGGAGGACTCGATAACGAGATAAGATACCAAAAGAAACCAAAAAACGTTAGCAATGCTGAACAAAATGAAATTCGATTAGAGAACCTGCATATACGGATATACAAGATTATTCTAAATATTAAATTGATAAATTATAATTGATTATGGAAGGGAAAGTATATTTGAATAAGTATACATATATTGTTAGTTATCTTTGCAATTACAAATTGTATTATTAATGTATTAATACTAGAGCTAAAGCGTATGCAGTTTGATCCCCCGATATATACACACACATACGTACTATAATTCAATTGTATTTATACATAACTATATACTAAATATACACAACTAATAAATTAAAACCAAAACCAAACACGGATGAGAAGTCAACTCGTGGAGAAACATATATTTTAAAGCTCTGAGAAGTGCAGCAAGGAGCCTGCAGAACCTTTTGTAGATACTTACTAGAGCTCACCGTAAGGCCCTCCCAGCAATCGAAACACCAATAAAGAACCTATCGAATAACGACTAATGAATAATGAATGTTAAAGGTTCCACTTTGATATGAATATGTTTAGGCGCCGGAGATTTACAGCTCGAGACACGTCCCCTTTATCTTCCATGCACCATTTGCGCTCAAAAAACCCAGAATCAAAGCCAATAGCACGCCACTGCTATACGTATATATTTGTAAATGTGAGATATATAGGTATTGTAATAAGTCTAATTAATTATGGCACTCGCTGGCAGTAATCAGAAATCAGAGCCACATTAAAACCACTGCGCACCACCAATTGAAGAGCCAAAAGACAGCCACAGCCAACACCAGCAGTTGATTTAGCAACTACGCAATTACATGCAAAGTAAAATGCACTCAGGGATTGATTTAAAACAAAAAAAAATCCAAAACAAAACAAGAACCTAAAACCAAAAGAAATTTAGATAAACGACAAATGCGCTTTCCTCGAACCACAATCGGCAGCCTGGCTAGTACCTAAAATGAGAATACAAGTAGCGTTATAGCGAAACACCAAAGTGAGATAGTTTTTGGACATGTTCTTATAAGTACCTATGTATGTAGCAGGCAGTTCATCCGACAATTAAGCCAATTACATATGTATTTTGTATTGCCTCACCAGCAGAATTTAGGAAAATTAATCAGAGTGCTATGGGGAACCTTAATTTCCCTTCTAACAATAATCAGAATCACGGAAATTACTCAAATTAGTCTACTCAAAAGTTATGCTTGTATGAGAACCACCTTACAGGAGTACAACAATCGGGTTATACACATGGTGTACCCACCTATGGCTTACTCAACTGTTATTGAACATTTTAAAAAGTAATATCACAAAACAGAATCTCAAATCGAAAATCCAAGTTATGCCAAGTGTTCCTTTCTAAAAAGTATATATTTAGACGAATACTTTTCGTAATATTTGAATATTTGTAGGTAAATCTAAAAGCCAACTACAAGTAACTAGTAATCTCATTGAATCTTAATATTTCCCCAAATTTTCCCTTCTAATATTGCAATTGCTTTAGCGTTAAACAATTCAAACGAAATAAAACTGAAAAATCTAATAAAAATTGATTAAAACTGATTTGTTGCTAAATTAATGAAATTGTACCTTTGAAAGGAATTCTGCGATCGATTCTTTTCTTATAGTTCTTAAGGTCGTCGTGGCACAAAATGAGAAATTAAGTTAAGTTTTTCCAAAAATATGAAAATCCAGCTCCTTGTTCTTTTTGTATATATAAGTACATACAAGGTAACAAATTTAATTGGTAATTAATAAAAGAAAAAAAAAAACAACATACGCTTTCGTTAAAAGTAATCATAATCTGTTTTTTTTGGAGTTTAAAAAAGATTCCTAAATTCTGTTAAAATCACATAGCCCTTCTCAGTTAATGAATAACCAGCTTGATCTGCTTGGAGTTTGGTATGTACTCCTCTTTGTGCTGCTCAAACATCTTCTCCAGCGCCGCCATCACCTGTCCATGGATCTCGTCCACATATTCGGCATGGGGACTGTCGCTTTTCACCACATCGATGGGGGACCCCACTGTAATAATTCGGATTTTTAATGGTTTTGGATTTTGAAAAGGTATCCGGGACTCACCAACTTGGACAATACGTCGGCGATAGGGCAGTATCCCATAGTTGTAATTGAAGATACCGCGACCCTTGGGAAGGAGCGGTGAAATTCCAGTGAATTTTTTGACCACATTTTGAAAACGACGCAGTAAGGAGTCCGGAGGATTGGCCACCTGGTCAAAAATATCCACCTCGCCAAAGGAAAACGAGGGTACTATCGATGAGCTTTAACAACAGGGATATTATTTATGGTTTTTATAAGTTTTAAATTAGCTACTTACCCCGTCCGAATGGCCATTCTGACGAAACCCTTCCTATTCTTCAGGGTCAAAATATACTGTCCAGGATGTGAGTCCATAGCCTCTTGGGCCCCACCAACCAGTACAGCCACCGCATTGGATGTAAAACCATCCCGATTGTCGTTGTGTGCGGGATCATTTGACTTGGTCAGTAAATAAGCCAGCGACTCTTTGGAAACGGACACCATGCCCCACCAACGCACTATATCACGTAAAAGAGGGGTCTTAAAATGATGATCCAAGGTGCCTATCTTGGGCCGAACGTGGGGAAACAGTTCCAGCCAATTTGTGATGTCCATGCCCATGTTAACACAAGTTCCAGTTCTTGAGGAGGACCGAAGATATGATAAGATATAATGAAACCGATGATCTTTTTATTCGCCTACCCCAGAATTCCATGAGGAAAGCTTGCCACAATATAATTTTTGTTTGCTGGCAGCTCAGCGGTTTTGACAAGTTCGACGGGAAAGTAGTTTCGATATTTCCGAACACTGCGGTAAAATAACCAGCTATTGGAAAATAATAGGGTTATTATGTCTTTAGTTGTTGGCATATTTCATTTTTAAACCTTACCCATTACCCTCCATGGTGCCAAAGTTTTTCTTGTAGTCCAAATACATTTTTACAAAATAGATTACCAGCAGACTGCGAGTAATGAGTCCACCGTAATACTGAAGAAAATATACATTTTTTCAATTAATGTTTAATATGAAGCTTAGGAATTTGTTTTATTTTTATGTGCGACTTTTTTAATTGTCCACAATGCTTTTATTTAAATCACCTGCTTTTTTCAAAATTCAACAAATGCATTTATCAATACCAAAGATATAGGGTAGTTTCATTTGAATGGCAGTTTTTAGCAACGAATTAAAAAAATGTTGTTCGTCAAACCTACAATTTAACACTTTTAAGTTTTTTGAGTATGTTTTCTTTTGAATACTTATTAATTTTAATTAATACGTTAATAGCTTAATTTAAAAATATATAAAGATTACCAGCAGGACAGCAACTGTAAGGCAGGATGATATGGGCAGCGTGAAGAAAGTATAGGTGAAGAAAGCCGCGGCTAGAGTCTGGAGACGACGAGCCAGAGGAACTCGTAATGGAGCCCATTCGATTTTCATGTTGAAATCAACCGATCTCTTCCACACAAAGTAGCGACTCTTTCGACGAATTTCCAACGACTGAGCGATCGTGCAGCTGCGACAAACCATTCCAGGGTGTAACAGTTGTACTTGTCCTTATCAATGCGAACCGTCTCTTCTGGGCAATCCGTAAGAGTCGTTAACAGTTTGAAACCCTCACTTGAGTGATAAGTCATTGATAATTCCTTAAACCCAGACACTAGACACTACAAACTATGCAAGTATGAAGTAAGATTACGTCACTGCGTGAAGATGCTCTGAAGAGAACCCGATTTGTTCAGACTTATATACAGACATTTTAATAAAAAATCAGTAACGCATAGTTAAAGTTATTGAGTCCCAGCCGTTGATTTCTAATCGAAGAACACTGAGTCATATAATCGTGCGTGCTAGTAATATTCCAATGTTTATATGGGTATGCCGGCAACAGTCATTACTATCAAGAACCATTCTTGACCTTTACTCGTAGAACTTCATGTTGAAGTCACACGTTTTAGCGGTGGTTCGCAACAGTCAAAATACCGACTGTATTGTGCGTACCCCAACAGTAAGTTCTCTGATAAGAGCTCTAGTTTTTGTCGTATATTCAATACTGATCTGTGTCATTCTTATCAGGGGAGTGTTTCATTCACCCAAGTGCTGATTCACGCTGTCGTTGTTACATTGAACTGTAATTAATAAAATATTTTAATATTTTTATTTTTCTGAGGTTAATTATTTCATTGAACATTGGGAGCGTTTTCGCATCTAAAACTGAACCGACATAGCTAAAGTGTAATATATAAAATTAATTGAATACTTTCATATTAACATTTATATTACTTTATTAAATATATATTGCTTTCCTGATAACGTCTTCATATACCAAAACTGCAGTTGGCATAGTTTAATCAACATAAATTGAATTTTTAGTTCTATCTACTACTTTTTTAATTACTGTACCACCAGTTTGGCATTCTTAGGGTTCTGTAAATATTTGTCTTTGTACTGATCGAACAATTTCTCCAGAGCCTCAATAAGCTGTCCATGCACTTTGTCCACATACTCTGAATCGGGTTGATCGCTCTTCACAACGTCAATGGGAGAGCCAACTATTGATGGAAAATATGGTAAATATTTATTTGTAAACACAATCAAAAATACTACTCACCAACTTGGACAATGCGTCGTCGAAATGGCAGAAAGCCAAAGGTGTAGTTAAAGAAACCTCGACCCACTGGAATCAGTGGAGAAACGCCGGTAAGTTTCTTCACCACATTCTGTAACCGACGGAGAAGGGAGTCTGGAGGATTAGCCACCTGATCGAAAATGTCCACCTCGCCGAAGGAAAACGAGGGTACAATTGATGAACTGCAATTGGAGAGATATAATTAGTCTTTTTGCTATAAAGATCCCACTCTTACTCACCCCGTTCGAATGGCAAGTTTTACGAAGCCCTTCCTGTTCTTCAGGGTCAAAATGTACTCGCCAGGATGGGAATCCATGGCCTCCTGCGCCCCTCCCACCAGTATAGCCACCGCATTTGATGTAAAACCATCACTGTTATCCTTGTGCTTGGGATCATTTGATTTGCTGAGCATTCGGATCAGAGCTTCCTTGGATACGGACACTAAGCCCCAGCAGCGCAGGACCTCACGCATAAAGGGCACGTGGAAGTGCTGATCTAGAGTACCCAGCTTGGGTCTCACCTGGGGGAATAGCTCTAGCCACTTGGAGATTTCCACGCCCATGTTAATACCTATGCCCGTTCTACAATCCAAATCAGTGTCTATTTATACTAAACGATTAGATTGCCTATCTGTCAATTCACTTACCCCAGAATTCCGTGAGGAAAGCTGGCCAAGATGTAGTTCTTATCCGCTGGCAATTCGGCGGTTTTCACCAACTCCACGGGAAAGTAATTGCGGTAGTGAAGATGTAAACGGTTGGTGCGGGTTATCATCCATCTTAGGTAGGTTTGTAAGTATAGTCTTTAAGGAAACTTTTTTTACATTTCTACTTACCCATTGCCATCCACCACAGATTGGGTTTTCTTGTGATGCACATAGACGTAAGTCAAATAAAGCACCATTAAGCTTCGCAGCAGTAGGCCTCCATAGATCTGTAGGAAGAAGAACGTGGTTTTCAACGGTCATATTTGTGTCTTCTTTATTTTATTTTCTTACCAGCGAACCAGCTACTAATAGAAAGGAAATAGATAATAATATCAAGAGCATGGAGGTGAAAAAGGCTGTGACCAGTATCTGCATTCGGCGCTCCAGAGGAACTCGAAGGGGTGCCCATTCGATTTTCATGTTTACTTTACTCCAATAATGTCCAAGTATTCAACCAGCTGCTCTTGCGGAGGTACTCCCACGACTAAATGATACAAAAACCAGCGGCGGTCAATTTGCCCTGTGTCAAACTTATACTAATCCTTATCGGTTTGAGATTTGATGACTGGGTCCCGCATTACCGGCTAATCAGAAAACAACTGACCAGTAGTTCTTTGAGTGGGGCTGATAAGAGTGATAAAGATGATAAAAGTATGGTAATCGACGACTGGCAATCGAAGTATTCCGTACATAGGTATGTGGCGGCTCGTGAAATATTACCCACTTCTGATTTTAAAAGCATTATGATCATATTAACACTCTATGCTCTGGGTCGTATTTCATCTGACTAACTTGGTAAAAATTTAGGTGATAACAAAACCTATTTTTAAACCAGATCCTACTAGAGATAAGTATGGGATTAAGTATTATACTCAAACTAACAGTAGAATGGTGAAATATTTTTCATACTCTAGGCATGCACTGTGAAAAATGTAACATTTGTAGAGAAGGTTTTTTAGGCACTATTAAATCTCCGAAAGAAGACTGCACCAACTAAAGTTGCATTGTTAATCCATTCCCATACTAACCAATTGGTCAATCATAGCAATTCACTCTCTAAAATTTAAATTTGACCGCCAATAAACATTGATCGTTCAGCAACACTAAAAGCTGCCTAATCGACATATAACCAATTCAAAGCTTTTAAGAGCTGCAAATCGATATTACCCTATTTTAAACAATGGATTCCTACCGACAGTTAGATATAGTTTTCACAGCCGAAATAAATTAAACTCATAAGTTGAGTTAATTGGTTTTTATTCAATGCTTATAAAGCATTAGTTTAATCACGTGTCCTAGAAAAATAATAACAAATGTTTTTCCGATTAGTGAACAATCAGCTTGCTCTGTTTTGAGTTTGGTATATATTGATCTTTGTACTGAGCAAACATCTTCTCCAGGTCCTCGATGACCTGTTTATGTATCTTATCTACATATTCAGGGTCCGGCCGCTCCGTCTTTACCACATCGATGGGGGACCCAACTAAAATGATTTTAGCAATAATTGGGTAAGGGGAAACGACAAACATCTTAAAGAGATTGGGACTCACCAACTTGAACAATACGCCGACGGTTGGGGAGGATGCCAAAAGTGTAGTTAAAGATACCACGACCCAGAGGAATCATTGGGGAAATTCCGGTAATCTTTTTCACAAAATCTTGAATGCGACGAACCAAGGAGTTCGGGGGATTAGCCACTTGATCTAAAATGTCCACCTCGCCAAAGGAAAACGTGGGCACAATCGATGACCTACGATAATACCATTTATAATATTTTTCTTACGATTTCCATATTGTTACTCACCCCGTTCGAATGGCCATTTTTACGAAACCCTTGCGATTCTTTAGGGTCAAAATGTATTTACCAGGATGCGAATCCAGTGCCTCCTGGGCACCACCTACCAAAATGGCCACCGCGTTGGATGTAAATCCATCCCGATTGTCTTTGTGCTTAGGATCGTTCGATTTGGTTAGCAAATATACCAACGCCTCTTTGGAAACGGAAACCAAGCCCCAAGACCTCAGGAGTCCACGCACAATGGGGGTCAGGAAGTTCTGATCCAAGGTAGCCACTTTGGGCCTGACTTGCGGGAACAGTTCCACCCACTTGGAGATGTCTAGACCCATGTTGATGGAAATGCCAGTCCTATCGGGGGTTTCAATATTTACATATGTATATATGTACACAAAATTTCGTCACTTGAGCGCCCATCGATAAGATTGGCTATCAGTCAGTGAGCTTACCCCAGAATTCCGTGGGGAAAGCTGGCCAAAATGTAGTTTTTATTTGGGGGTAGCTCGGCGGTTTTTACCAGCTGCACGGGGAAGTAGTCCCGATAATGCCGAAACAGCCAATTATTGCGGTTAATCCTCCACCTAAAATAGATTATATTAATGGGTTTTTATAAGGAATTTTCCAAGCCTACCCGTTGCCGTCCATAATGGAGTGGGTTCTCCTGTGATCCACAAAGACGTAGACCAAGTAAATGACCATCAAGGTGCGCCACATAAGACCACCATATATCTACGGGAGAATGCGTTATTTACTTTAAAATTTACAAGTTTGGGGTGTTATTTTATTTACCAGCAGGGCAGCAACTAGAATATAAGAACCAAAAGAAAGTATCAAGCAGGAAAGGATAAAGAAAGCCATGGCAAACGTCTGACGACGCCGTTCCATGGGAACTTCGATGGGAGCCCACTCGATTTTCATGTTGAACTCAAAACCTCTTCACGAATCGAACTATTAGGTAGCGACTCTTGCACGGTCCTCCAGCGACTGAAAAATGTCCAATGCTTAGTAACCTTTTCTTATCCTTATCAGTATCCGCCGATGGCGCGGGTTCGTGGCTATCGTTAACACTTGTTAAAAAAATACCACTGACTTAATGGCTATTTGCTTGGGGCGTTTAAAAATTCAAACAATCAAGATAATAACTGGCTCAATATAGACGTCTGGCAGCTATTGCAATATAGTCTTATCATTGCTTTTAAACAGTTTTCTCTAACACTCCTAAGCGTAGTTGTGTTTGAATGTATTTATTACAGATTTAAACAGTTAATTACAACAGGTCATTAGATTAAGAATGAAACTTTATATAGAACTACAACCAAGATTACTTGATTTGTTTTGCTGATATTTACTTAAAATACTTGTCTTTACAAGCTGTTATCCATGGCTTTATTAACCGACAATAATATAATAATATTTATACCCTTGCAGAGGGTACTATAATTTCAATCAAAAGTTTGCAACGCAGTGAAGGAGACATTTAAGACCCTATAAAGTATATATATTCTTGATCACCATCACCAGAAGAGTCGATCTAGCCATGTCCGTCTGTCCGTCCGTCCGTTTCTACGCAAACTAGTCCCTCAGTTTTAATGCTATCTGCTTGAAACGTTCCCAAAAGTTGTCTTTCTATTGCATTTAGTATATAAGTCGGAACGAGCCGGTTCGGGCGACTATATCATATAGCTCCCCTAGAAACAATCGGAAAAAACTTCAAATGTAACTTTGCTGCTTTGCTTTTTTTTTTGTTCTTTGGGACTTGTTAATATTTAAATATTAGGGAACTACGGTTTTAATTAAATCAAAATCGGACAACAATATCATATAGCTGTCATAGAAATGATAGGAAAATGCAGCGCAAAATCGACATGGCGTCATTGTTTTAACTTGCCGAAGTTTGCTTTCTTTCTTGTTTTTTAATTTATTCATCTACCGACAGCTTTTTTATTTTGTTAAGATATAAACCGTTAAGCTCTATAATTTCACAGATAGTTTACATTATTTTTGTATTTTCCATGCAATGCAAACTATGATGACCTCTGAAACTTTGATATAAAGTATGCTTTCATGTAGGAAAATAATATTTATATATAGTGAGTATTGTCCATGTTTTGGGCGCGCACGCTGAACAAATGTGTACACACGTAATAGATCGTTATCGCATTTTAAGAGCAGAACCGACGACGCGAGCGTGCAATATTTAACTAAACAAGCAAGTGGGCTTTTAAAAGTCAGAGAGCAATGCACGAGATTCCCATACGAGAATTGTAAATCGTATTTACTAAATACTAGAATACAGTGCAACAGTTGAGTCACATATGTACGTAATGGCGGGTTTTATGCGATATAAACGCATTCAGAGGCAGCTGAGGTCATGTGCATTTGCAAGTCTCTGGCGAGGAATACCTGTTTAAAGATAACGAGAACTCTACTCTAATTAAAATGGAACCAAGGAAAGCTGGCTAATGTAAGACTTTTAAAACAGTATAAGCAAAAATAGCAGAGGTTTCAGATTTAAATGTTGGCGCCCACCCGATCGTTTTCAGTGATGGTATGTGATTTAGCACTAATCAACACTTCATTCTTTTTATCGGCTGGTTCGAAATTCAAAAGGTTAGCTTCCTTAAAGTTTCGTTATTAAAAACAATAAATATAATAAAAATGATGGCTAAAAAGTTTTGTCTTCTCATGGGGCTACCCGTAGAATTTGTCCCCTAGGGAATGCTAACATATTGCCCAATCCTCCTAAGCGCTACGATGACGAAGTACCAAACCGATTTTTGCATTTCAAATGTCCCCCGTCCAATTTACTCCAATGCAATCAAGAAGTGAAAAACACACCAAAACAAAATAGCGCAAAATATATTCAGCGAGTTCACCGTTTCTTATCATTCCTTTTTCGTCGTTCTCCTCTATCACATTTTAAGCCTCAGTGTGACAAGATAATCCGTGAGCAGTGGTTGCTATGAATCTCGAAAATCGGGGTCCTAAGGAATAAGTATTTTAAATATTCTATGTATTTTATTAAGTGTAACTTTGCCTAAGTAAACGAATGGAGTATTGATGGGTGAACCAAAGTGCATGGCAAAAGTGCAATAAACTCAAAGCAAGCTTTTGATAAATATATTTTGCATTCCGATACGCACACAACGATAGACTGAAGAAATAGATTTGGAAGTGAAACAAAGAAAAATGCTGATTTATTATGCGAAATACGCATTTCTCTTTTGGTTTTTCGTGGGAAGCAATAGAGGCGAAATTCTGCTGATGGACCAAACCACCCACGATGAGATGCTGCTCAATGTGACCGCCTGCACCCAGAATTGCCTGGAAATGGGCCACAAGGTAGGCGTCACTAATTGCAAATTATATCGCATTACAATTTTAATTTTGATATAAATTAAATGGATTAAAATGCCTGTTTTGATCAATATGTGTGTTTGGACATTTTTATACCCGTTACTCGTAGAGTAAAAGGGTATATTGTATTCGTGCAAAAGTATGTAACAGGTAGAAGGAAGCGTTTCCGACCCTATAAAGTATATATATTCTTGTTCAGTATCACTAGCCGAGTCGATCTAGCCATGTCCGTCTGTACGTCTGTCCGTCTGTCTGTCCGTCCGTATGAACGCTGAGATCTCGGAAACTATAAAAGCTAGAAGATTGGCATTTTACATGTAGATTTTGGAGTTCTACGCAGCGCAAGTTTGTTTCAAAATGGTGCCCGCCCCTCTGACGCCCACAGCAAAAGCTGTGGGCACGTTTTGATGATATTATAAAAATTTTAATTGATATGTATTTGTTTCGTCAATAAATATCGATTGGCCTAATAAAGTTTGCCCGCCCACTCTACGCCCAAAACCTTAAACGCTTAAGCCTGGCTGCGCCTCATTTCCGCCTTCTGGCGCCATCTAACGGACGACTTTGGAACGCTGGCCAGGTGCTTACGAGTCAACGTTATTCTCGTAAGGTTTCGGATAGCTGTAAGGGTTCAATGTCACTGATTCTCTCTTGTTAATATTTGAAAGGATTGCGACAGAAATTCCTTGAAATTTTCCAGAAATTATTAAATTACAAACCAAAACCACAACATTTTGTTCCGATTATATTTTTCATTCGCGTGACAGGACTTTCAAGGATGCTTTAAGGACTGCAGGGTCAATGGAACCGCTCCGGGAGCTTTACGCAAAGTGCAGGATAATTTCCAGCTGCAGATGCTTTGTCGCACGGAGTCGGAGCTAGTTTTCCAAATAGATTGGGTGCAGCACAGCAGGGGAAATGAGTCGGCTCCAAATGTCACTTACATAATCAAGGTGAATGCTGTCGAGGACGATATTACGAGGACAAAACTATACCTGGTAAGAAACTACAAAAACCCTTTAGGAAATCATTATCATACTATCGACCAGAAGATAATTAAAAGCTTTTTGATCACTCGAACGAAATGGGCCCACAAAAAGAGACATAATTCTTATGGTGATTTCAGTCCGATGAAAACATTCTAATCCTGCCGAGCCTGATGTCCAACTCCAGCCACAATATCACAGCTCTGGCGGTGCACAGGGATGGGAGTTACTCGCTGATAGCCAAGGAGCAGACCTTCGCCACCCTCATACGTGGATATCAACCCAGCAAAATAGGAGCTGTGAATTTGCTACGATTTGTCCCCAAGCCATATGACTTGCACCACATTGCTGCCGAGATTGGGTGGGAGCCATCAGCGGGTGAGTCTCTTCATCTGTAGAACACATTCTTGATCTTCCCTGAACTATTCCTGTTCCAGAACGCAACTGCTATTTTGACCTGGTGTCCTATTCAACCAACAGCGTGAATTTAGACGACCTGCAAGAGGTTTGGTTCCGGGATGTGAGTACATAGAATTTCTTTGTTAAGAAAAATAATTTAGACTCAACCTACTCCTCCAGCCAAAGAAGCTTTACAAGCACACACTGGACAACTTGGAGTTCGACAAGCACTATCTCATAGGCGTGAAAACGGTGAACAAATTAAACAGACTGGAGAGCGAATTAAAATGGCTGACAGTGGTGGCTCCAAGTTGTTTGGACTGGCATCCCTTCAACTACACACTCTGCGGTGAGTTACAGGTTTATCCACACTATACCTAATTTCATATTGATTCTTTAATAGCTCCTTATAAGCCGGAGAATCTGAATGTGAAGCAGGAGCAATATCTGCCGAATACCTTAGCTCTGAATATTAGCTGGTCGCGACCCAGTCACCTCCCAGATAACTACACACTCCGCATCTTCGATCTGTTCACGGGAAGCAAGGAGGTTAACTTTACGCTTGACCGAAACAGAAGCCACTTCTTCGTACCCAGGATCACTGTGCTGGGCTCCCGTTTTGAGGTTCACTTGGTGGCACAATCGACAGGCGGCAAGAATGCCACCGACTTGACCCTAGATAAACTGCCGCGTGATGTCTTGCTGAGTGGTAATTCTAGGAAGAAAATATTTTTCAAATTCCTCATTTTAAATGTCACTTAACACTAAACGTTTTCTAAAGAAACTCAAAGTTAAACTTTTTTGTCCTCGCAAACAGAAAGCAACCTGGTCAAGTTGGTACTTTTAATTATTGTGCCCTTGTGCTGCATTTGTATGCTGTGCTCCCTGACCTTCTGCAGACGGAATCGGACGGATACTCAGGCATTGCAAATGGAAGCCAAGGATGCTATGGCCTCTGACTTCCACCTCTCGCTGATGGACAGCAGCGGCCTGATGGTCACCTTGTCGGCAAACGGGAGCCTGGATATAGTGGACGAGCTGGAAGTGGAACCCCATTCGGTGCTCCTCCAAGATGTCCTGGGCGAGGGAGCCTTCGGTTTGGTGCGACGCGGAATCTACAAAAAGCGCCAAGTGGCTGTCAAGTTGTTGAAAGGTAATACTATTAAGGAAACTTTTCTTCGTCTGTGGTATATTTGTGATTCAACAGATGAGCCCAATGACGAGGACGTGTATGCGTTTAAGTGCGAGATACAAATGCTCCAAGCCGTGGGCAAGCATCCGAATATTGTGGGTATCGTTGGGTACTCCACCCGCTTTAGCAATCGAATGATGTTGCTAATTGAATATTGTAGCCTCGGAAGCCTGCAGAGTTTCTTACGGTAGGTTGTTCTTCTTAAAAATAACGAATAACTATTGCTATGTTCCTAAACTTAGTGAGGAGTGGAAGTTTCGGCAGGAGCAAAGTGCAGTTTGTCTCAAAAAGAACCTTGGGCAGGATGTTGACAAACGACGACTCTACCAACCCACCAGCAGTCCCATCCATGATCTCATAGAAGATATAAACATCTCCATGCTATCCACTGTGGAGGAGGAAAGTGAAACGGATCAGACACAAACAAGCGGTCGAGTTGAGACCTACACCCTGACTCGAATCACCAATTCAGCAGACAACAAGGGTTATGGGATGGAGGATATTGAAAACATTGGAGACAGTCATATTCCCAAAGACTTAAAGGCTCCAAAGAATGAGTCAACCCAGGAGCTAAAAACGGGGATTAACAGAGAAACCAAACAAAAATCCAGGTTCGAGACCGAGAAGCGAACCTTTGAGAACAAGGAATACTTTGATTGTCTAGACTCAGAATATTCAAGGCCCAGAGTGCCTCTAAAATATGCAGATTTGCTGGACATTGCTCAACAGGTGGCAGTGGGAATGGTGAGATACTTCCACTGAACCTTAAACTTTAGAACTTGAAACGTAATATACGGTTTTCAGGAATTTCTGGCCCAAAAAAAAGTTGTGCATCGGGATCTGGCTGCTCGAAATGTGCTGATCTCTCTAGATCGCAGCATTAAGATTGCAGATTTTGGGTGAGTAATCTCTTAAAATTCAATGATTTTTCATATCATTCCTCCCTCTGGCAAAGGCTAAGTCGGGATGTCTACCATGAGAATGTGTACCGAAAGTCCGGAGGAAGTGGGAAGCTACCCATTAAATGGCTGGCCCTGGAATCGCTGACCCACCAGGTGTACACCAGCCAGAGCGATGTGTAAGGACTCTGGCATTTCCCTCCGAGGCAAGCACTGACCTCTTACACTTTCAGCTGGTCCTTTGGGGTGCTGCTCTATGAGATCACCACGCTTGGTGGAATGCCGTACCCATCGGTGTCACCCAGTGATATCCTGCAACTACTACGACAAGGTCACCGGATGAAGCAACCTGAAGGATGTTCGGATGAAATGTGGGTAAAATAAATTATGTTTCACGAAAAAAAAAATATATATAATCGTTGAAAATATATGCGACACTTAGGTTTACGATGATGAAGAGTTGCTGGAATTCCGTGCCATCATATAGACCCACATTTTCCAGCCTCAAACACAGACTTGGAGCAATGATTTCAGCCACAAACGATGTGCCAGAACGGCTAAAACAACTGCAAGCTTCAACTGAAACCAAATCAAAGTCCTGTGACAATCTCCACAGGTGAGATTAATAATTAATATTTGAACTATTCTTAGTGCCTCGATTGCAGTAAAGTGGAACAACTGCCCTGTGAGGAGGAGCCATACTTGAAGCCTTTAAATTAATCTCCATTAGCTATGGAAAGTTGAAGATTGAGTGCAATACAAGATTGTTGGAAAACAAATGATGTCCTAGAACTGTAGTTCCAATTCAGACAACGCTGACAAGCAGATAACCGGCTTCTACTTATAAATAAATATTAAAGATAGGTATAACAAAATATCTTTGACGTATAGATAATCAAATGGGTTTGGTTACATTTCAGATTTTATCCGATTTCGATCATAAATCCTTTACCCACAAATTAGACAATGCACTTCTTGTCATCGATTTTGAAGCTAATGATCCTCGAAACCACAACTTTTTGGCAGAGGCTTGCTATTTCGACATGATTGTCCACACCTGCGGTGATGTAGGCTTCAATTGGGTCTGGTTCATTTGCACATTGGGGCGTTTAATCGTCAGCATCCTTGAAAATTCCAAATTTAAAGTAGTTCCAAGCTGGCCTGTTTACAGTTTAATCCAATTTCTGAACACCTCCATCGATGTGCATCCACTGTTGCCGCCTTCGCCGGACACCTTGTCCGCCGATTCCGTACAGCTGCCCCCACTGCCCAGTGCGTACCATTTCCAGCTGCTGTCCACTGGGAAGTCGTCCCATTGCTGAGAATGCCTTTATGAAGGGCGGGGATCTGGAGCAGCCTCCTGATCCCTGTGGCATCTTGCCACCCCGTTGGCTGGAGGTGAACCGTCGGGTCATTTACGCCTTGGCGAATCATTTGGATCGGTCCCCGGAAGCAGCACATTATATGTTGTTACGCCTGCTATATGCCAACTATCGAAAAGTGATGGTGATATCCCGAAAACGAAGGAGTTTCAGAGTGCCATTGAGTGGCTTTCCGGATCAGGACCTGTTCTCCGCCAGCGGTCTTTTTGATAGCAATGGTTACCTCTACGATCCCATGGCGCCAGAAACACTAGGAAAGCTGCTCCGCATGATGCAGGACTATATCTTCCGGCTTAGAGCGCTCAATCTTAAGTACAAGTGGTTTGAAAATGGCGATGATCTCAGAGATATACTGCACCTGTTGGGGGAACAAGATGAACTGGTAAAACTGTTGAGGGAACTCTTTGCGGACAGCGATGTGGTCCCCATTCCACAACTCTTAAGAGCTCTCAACGAACTGGAGTTTAATAATATATTAGGGAAATGGAAGAAGAAAATCAAACCTTGGCTGGTAAGAAGTATATCCGATCTCTATTCGGAAGTGACAGAACCCAAGAAAACAATTAGAATGTCACCACTCGGCAAAGGTAATAGATTTGGTCCCCCGCAATCAGTTCAGGGAACTACGATTCCAATTAATTTAAATAAAAGCCCAAAGCGCAGTATTAACAACATTCCAATAACCACTATAAAATCTATTCCAACAAGGAGTCTAAATTCCATCCCAAAAACCAGTATAAAATGTATGCCAACAACCAGTATAAAATCCAACCCGAAAACCAATATAAAACTGATCCCAACAAACTGTATAAAATCCATTCCAAGTCAGAATCGCATAAAAGTCAACACCCTTCAAAGCCATCCTAGCTCCATTCAATTAAAGGCCACTTATTTGCAATCTAAGAAGCCAACGCTCCTCTTCGGTGCTTTTGATGCCAAGAAGAGTTCCACCTGGGAGTCCCGCCACGCAGATTCAAATCGAATGATGCCGTACAAACGGCCTGCCAGGGGTGGGGAGCACCTTTATAGAAATGTGGACGAGCATCGGGGACTGGGAATTATGCGCAGGGGATCTGCGACCAACGAAAAGTCCTTCGGCAGTGCAAAGTTTGGAAATGTGTGTACGAAAAAAGAATTGAGTGGATCAACCAGAACGCCTAGTACCAACATTAAGTCTTTGTCGTCTAAACCAAGGAAATGTTAGGATCCTTCTAGGCAGTCAACCAATAAATATGGCAGCCGAACCAAATAAATATTAAATTATATGTAATATACATATTATTTGGAGCCGCTGCCCAATCCATTGGTTGTCCTCTGCAAAAATATTTGGGGCCCAGGAAAGCCTCTCTTGAAATATCAGATATTCACTATTCGCACTATTCTTATTATATAACTTGGTCATTGTAGAATGTACACGATTTTACAAACATGTCTAAAAATTATGGTTTTTTAGAATCAATCATTAAAAATAAACTAAAGCGGATTACGACCAGAAAAATTTGTGTATCTTGGTTTAACCTTCAAACATATATACGTAAAACCAAAACAAAGCTTTACTTATATCACTTCCGTACATTTTATCCATGAATAATAACTTGAGCGTTAAAATTGCACCTCTACAGCACCAATGTCATGTGCGCAATAAGTCATTCAGCGGACAAAGCAAACCATTCAGAAAACTAGATACGTTAATATTATTAACAAATAAACATGTACAAACTTCAAAAGTTAGTTGGTTTCCCGTTCCCTTTATTTCCAGTTTTAGACTGCGAATTTTAGAAAACACGATATACGGTTGGGTTTTTATCATTTACTCCCCAGGGAAACCACAAAACCATTCGGTTGCATTGGGGTGTACTTATATGCACATATATACATATGGATTTAAGGTAAACATAAGTGTAGATCTTCAAGTGGGAGAAGCACCGTTCCCACCAGAATTATTTATCTTTGGACTGCATGCGGCACTCGAGGCAACGGATCACGGGATCGGACTTTTTCCGTGCTAATTGCGGTTATAACCAAGACCGAGTATATTACGCGCCTGTGAAAGTAGTTGGAAATTAGTGGATAAAATATTGAATAGAGTAGGAGAGCCGAACCGTTATGAACGCCGAGTTAAAGGAACGTTGGAACGTGTGCGTCATGCCCTCCGTCTGAGATAGCATTATTTGGAGCTGCACAGCCTCGTCCATGCGGTTCTTCAGGAACTCCCAGGTCTGAGTGTGTCCTTGGGAGGTGTCCTGCAGAAAATATAGCTCGGTCATCTTCATTATGGTCGCCAGACCCACACGTCTAGTGTACCAACCGAACTGCATAATAGGGAATAGTTTGGAGCAAACGAAAGCAAAGGTTGTGGAATACTCACGTCCACGGATCGATCCCCGGAATAGTAGCAGATGTCATCCACTAGAGTGAGCACCTGGGCCAGGGCGGTGGGTGCATGCTGCGGTTGGGCTATCAAAGCCATCGCCTGGGGCCACTGCGTCTTATAGGGGGTGACCATTTCCAGGCGCTGGCGTACCGCTTGCACCAGGAAGTCCAGCGGGTCTTCCACCTCCTGCTTTCCGCCATCTGTCTTTTGCTGCAGGCTCTCTACCAACTGGGCGTTGCACTTGCCGTTAAAGTGGGAGACCAGGGCAAAGCCCCCCTCGGGGAACATGCCGTGCACCACGCTGGGATAGCCACTCTCCTCGGCGCCCAGGACGATGGCATGTCGTGTCCAACCCTGCTGGGGCACATGCTGCAGTGCGGCGTCCAGGATCTTTGCCCTTATGGCATCCACCTTGGCCTGCTTGGGATCATCCTGATGGCCACTGGACTCCGATCCTGTTGCTCCCAGACCTCCCCCTCCTGCCACCGACTCTTTTTGTGTGGCCTTTGCAGCGGCCTCATCAGCCGCATCCCGTTCCTTTTCACGCTGCTCTTCTCTAGCCCGGAAATCGTCTAGGTTGGTTGACTTTTCATCCTTGGCATAACTTCTTGCCAGCAGGAAAGTTAATGGTCTGGGATGCAATGGAGCCAAACGGGAGCTTTGTGCATCTACAAATAAGGTAAACCCATGTATCAACAATTTAAGAGGGTTGAAAGAACACGATCTTTTTAATTCCTATGTTAAACATGGGGAATACATATATGCTAAAAAATATTTATCTTGATTGGTTTAAAATTTTTATAACAGAACTCTCCTAAGTAATAATCGAAATTGACCAGGTTTACAAAAATTGATTGTATTATTTTCTGAAATGTTGCTTAAATGGTTATAAAAACGCATCAACATATGGTAAAACTAGAACCTATAGCATATTGTTTTTTTCCAATTTTAAGGTGTTAAGTAATTTAAATCCCCACTAATATGTATATGCAATCAAATATAAATACGCAGATCGCGAAGCAAAGTCCGCATCGGTGGCCAGTTAATTAGCACGCCACAACTGGCTCAATTAGCCGGTCAATTATCGCCCAAGAGTAGTACCCCCAAACCACATAGATCAGTTTTGGTTTCGTTTTCTGCTGTGTTTACACACAAAGTTTACGTTCTCATTTCGCTTTCATTGTGGACAAAATATAAGCTAAGAATCCGATTGAGCGGCTTTTCGACGTAAGCAGGCAGACTGTTCGAGTTTCTCACTGGCGATCAGGTATAAAGATTGCAGGGTTTCCAGACTGGTGATCGAGCTGGCCAGCACCTCGAGCTTCTCCTGGCGCCCAATGTCCGGTAGACGGCTGTCCCCGTCGCCGCCGGCCATACCGCTGTTGGTTATGTTCACGGCCAGCATGTTGAGCTGACGCTGCATCAGTTCATCGTCCGAAGCGCTCTGGCCTTTTTCCACGCGCTCCTTGTACGCCTTGTAGTGGGCCATTGAGAAGTTCAGCGCTTTTCCCAGGGGATCTAGCAACCTTCTCACAATATCTGGCAGAGCCTGCCAGAATCCGGTGACGTCCTTTTTGTCCCTCACCGCAAAGTAGCGCAGAATATTCAGAGCATGACACAGGCGATCGGCGTGCAGGAGAAGATCGGATTTGACGTCATGGGGCAGAACACAGACGCACAGCAGCAGCATCTCGCGGAACAGCTTTCCGCTGTAAACCTCTGGCAAGGGGCCAGACTCCTCTAGGGCCTTATCCACCAGATCCTTGTACATTCCGCCGAGGTAGCCCATAAGTCCGTCGTGCTGCAGCGTCTCCAGCAGATTCTTGAGAATGAGATACTTTCCTTGGTCATCAAAAACTAGCACATATTGCCGCAGCACATGAAGTCCCAGCTGGCGGAGGGCGACTTGCGGAGAGTACCCCACAATCTTGCAAAGCGCTTCACAAAAGCGCTTGTGGACATCTAACTGGAGGGAACTTGATAGCACCGGATTGCCCAGGGTGCTTAAAAGATGCTCCACTAATCGAAGGCCGCAATACTGTAACGGTGGCTCTTGCTGTTTGAGCAGCACTTCCGAAAGATAGACAATCGATTCGAAAAGGAAAAGAGGCGCATATATTCTGGGCGCATTGGGGGGAAGTTGGTTGCCCACGAAGAGCGAGTGATAGTACATGGCCACCGCATGCAGGGGCAGCTTTTCCTCGATGAGGAACACATTCCGGCAGCTCATCTCGTAGACGCCTTTCGCGGCATCCAGTTTGCGCTGCCACCTGGCGCGCTGTTCCACGAGATTGAGTAGGTAGAAGGGATCGCCCAGGCATTGGCTGGCATCCTGGCTCAGACTCTCTGTCACCTGCTGCACATAGGTGCGAGTTAGGTCCTCCTTGACATGGCTCATTTCGAGCAGGGCCAGCGGACGACCCAGGAGCTGGATAAAAAAACAAGTGAAGATGTTCCGTCGGTTCAGACCGCAGTCCTTGAAGGTTTGGCTGGGAGCACGCACATCATGTTGAAGGATTTCGCTGCAGAGCGGCTGTCGAAAGAGACCCACGGTGATGTAGTGCGCCAGCAGGTCCTCAACCTGCTCGTTTTGCTCTATAAGTCGCGCCTGGGCCTCGTCGTAGCCCTCGGAGAGGTATTTGGGCAGGGGTAACTCCCTCAACCTAGTGAAGACGCTTTGGAGGCTCCACTCCACAGCCTGCGGCTTGTCGCGTCCCTGTCGTTGGAGCACCACTTGGAGGGCCCTTAGATGGGCGCCGAAAACATTGAGGCTGCTGCTCTCCTCCAGGCGTTCCATTAGCTCCAGCATGAGCTCCTGCAGCGGTGCAAATTTGGCCAGCAGCTTGAGCAACTCATCCGAGCAGTCGAAGAGCTCCGGCTCCTGGGAGTTGACCTCGTCGGACAAATTTTCGGAGCACACGTCGTGATAAAGGTGCATGGCTATGTGGGGCAGCAGCCGGGTGTTCCGTTCTGATTCCTGGGCACTTTCGAACAACATCCGCACGCCGTCGTAGGCTTTTTCCAGCAGCAGCTGCTTGATAAGCTGCAGTAAATTGGACGCCTCCACGGCATCCGCCATATCCACCTCCATCTCCTGTTCCTGCATTTTATTTTATTCTTTTGTTTCTGTATATTACCACTTGGTATTTGTAATTTTGTTGAAAATTGTCGAGAAATTTAAGGCCGCCGGCGTTTGGCAGTCAGCATTTTACACTTCCCCTCTCACTCACACCCTCTCGCCCCCTCTCTTTCGCACGCACGCACTACTCGATCGAACAGCTGTTTTTCGGGTTGCGGGCTCTCTTTCGTAATGACCGAACCCAGATAATGCGCGGGTAACAGGTGAATTGCGAAAATCCCATTACTTACTGAGTGGCAGCAGGATCTTTTGCAGGCGGATTAGCTTGTGCAAACAGCGCACACTTGCCATTTTAGCGGCTTGAAATCGTTCCGGCAATTGAAATCGGTTTGTTTGGCATTCACCAGGAAGCTGAAGCAAGTAGTGTTGGAAAGCAGCGTGCTTTTTTAGTATATTTGCGATTTAGTATTTTTGCGATTTTAAATTACCGTCTGTTATGTGGAATGTTTCGGTATGTAATCAGCGCTGCCAGTTCTCCCTCCAAAATTTAGCTTATCCTATGTGGCTAATAGCTAAAACTTGAATTATTAGCTAACTTATAGTTTTAAATTGTAACTAACAGCAAAAAGAGATGTTAAATAAAAATGCCCCAAAAATTGAAAAATAAAATAAATAAAAAATTAGTTAAACAAAGTCAAAATTGCATAATAATAGCCGAATTTGGCTAGAAAATAGCTGATTTGGTTAAAGGACAAAAAATGCACAACTATTATCGGGAAATCTAAAAATCCCTCATGTTAACTAATAACGCCACATAAGGCTATACTTTATAGCGCATTAAAGTTTTGGCCACACTGAGTCGAAACAGAAACTGAAACTGGCTGATTGCGGATCGTGTGTTTATTAATTTTAAATCTAAATTCGCAGTCTAACTTCGCTTTGCCGTAATTAGTTAGTCATAAATTAAAGGCGCGCCGGTCCGAACAGCACTTCTCTAATAATTTTTTATTTTACCATCCCGAAAACATAAAAACTAAATGTTAAACGAAAAGTAAAACGATAATTGAATATACACAAATATGCTAGCGAATTCAGTGGAAAAGTGCTTAATTCACAAATAAAACCGCAAGATTAAAGTCAAAGTGTCGGAGGAAAATTCAACTGCAGTCTGTGCGGCGGCGTTTCAGTGAATTTTCCGTTTTCCGACCCGCGACAAGGGTGGAAAACGCGTGAAAACCCGAAACGAAAATCCTGCGTGTGTGTGCAAATGATGTGAAGTATAATCTGACGAAAAAATAAAAGAGTTTGCCAAAAAATCAAAAAGGCTGAAACGAGAAAATGGGCAAAAAGGCGGAATGTTTAATGGGCGATTTTTAGTGCGGGAGCAGCTCAAGAATCCAGTTTCGGGCTGCAAGGCGTGTCAGGATTGAAATCGAACCACCACCACCATACCCAGCAGCAGCAATAACAACGAAAACAGCCGCTCTGAGCCAATTTCGTTGGCCCTTTTCCTGGTTATTCCTGTTTGACTTCATTTTTACCCAGCTTTCGCCGCAGAATTTTGCATTTCGAAAGACAAAATGTCGACGCGCTCGCAATTAACCAAGGACCTCAACGGTGAGTAATGCTCGCTCTCTCCCCTTTCTCCACCTCTCTCTCGCCGCCTTTCTCTCCGCGCCCCTGCCCCTCCCCCTTTCTCCGTTCTTTGTTTTGGAAAACGCACGAACAAAAACAAATGCAGATGCATCCCCTCCGAAACGTTGACGTTTTGTTTTCGCTCTTTACTTTTCTGTTTGGGCCGCCGGCTTCCGTTTTCTTTAATGCGACACCCCAAACACACTCACAAACAATGTGACACTGCCACCCACCCGCTGGGAAACTCCCACCCACGCACAGTTTTGGAAGCACTGCCTTTAAAAGTCCAGCCCTGAAGAAGTTTTTTTTCCAACATCTAAACTTTTATAAACACAAATTTTCTATTTTGAATTCCTTCTTATAAAAAAAGAGATTAATATAATGGCTTATACTTGGTCCTAAAGTTTAAATCCAAAATATGTTTCTTCAACAAATACAAATAAATTTGAAAAACAACTCCTCCTAAAGTTGTCAGATTCGTCAATCTTGGTTAAAGTTTATTACAAAAAAATAATGGCTCACAATCATTGAAGGAATTCTAATAGATTACACATAAACAAATTTTAATTACTTTGGACTTAACAGTCATATCTTATACAAAATAATGAATTTCAAATTTGATCACGTCTAGGAATTAAAACTGTTATCTATAAATTTATAATGGATTTTATGTTTGAGTGAATCAAAATTTTGTTTCGTCTAGGAATTAAAAATGTTTATCTACGAAATGATGTTAGTCATTAGGCAAAATTAGGCGCTAATATACTTATATTACTAGCTAACTATACTTTTCACAAAGTTGATACAAATTAAATTGCGTGAAATGTAATTGAGGTAAAAAGAAAAACAAAGTCAGAAAGCTTAAATCCTACCAAGCCTCGAGAGATAAGTTGAAATAAAAATAAGAAGCAAGTACATATGTAGATGTACATACATATACTATCGGTAAACATTAAGCCAGCGAGGGTTTCTATATAAAGACATTCAAAAGCTCGATATTGATATCAGTGAATGGGTGAGCACTGTAAACAAACAAACTTATTGTTCAACTGGAGCTAGTGAAGCATTATTTCCCCAAAAACAAGCCACATAGTTACCAATCTAAGTTCTGGTTCCTACGGAAATCGGTTAATGCTTGGCCCGTTGTCATCCCCGCGGGGCGTGAAAACCGATCTGACAAAAGTCGAATCACTCAGCACCGGCATGCAGACCGCGTAATGCCCCATGACAGGTGTCTGGCCCCATAACAGTCATCTGCGCAGCCCATCTACAATGGTTCCGAATTGAGGTTATTGAGTTATTTATCAGTAAAATATTAGTGAAAATAAGGCTAACTTATTTTGTATAAAATATTTTATAAAATATTAAAATGTTTTGTTTAACCCAATCAAAATAAAACAAATGTTTCTTTCAAAATAAAAGCAATTTGATACTTGGCATTTAGTCATTTTCGATTTTACCTTAAACGTCCTAATTAGCCAGCACCCAAATCATGTAATTTAAATTTAAACATACGCAATCGTATTTTTTATATGTGTAGGCCGATTAAGTATGAGAACGGCGCTAATCGGACGTCTATATTCTAAAGCTGCCGTAGGAAGAATTGATTTTTTATGTATTTCTCTCTGTTTTTCTCCAATATATATTATATCTTCTTTTTGGATCAATATTTTACGTTTCATGAAAATAGCATGAATAAATCGATAGCTGTTGTATGTGTGATCTGTTCATGTTAGAAAATATTGCCGATCGAACGACTATATCCTATATTCGCCATAGGAGCGACTGTTTTCTTTGGAAAAAAGTAATTTTCGAAAATTACGCGATTTAGGACGGTCAAAAAATATTTTATAAGACGGAATCTTTTAATGCAAAATATATTGTCTATAACAACCATAAATGGTCAAAAGGTCGACAATAACCAAAACATAAAAAAGCCGGTTTAACTATCCAAACAACTCTAACATATTTTTGTTTGCACCGAATCCTATCCTGTCTTAGCCGACCCACAGTGCCTGTCCCGAGGAATTTAACCCCAACTCGTCGGCTAGCTGAGTAATTTAATTTGAGTGCAGTGACAGCAGTTCTTCCACCAGCTTAGTTCCTGCTCGGAGCTCCGAGCTCCGGGAGTCCGTGTTCCCGACTCCTGTTCCCAGGTGTGGGCGTTGACACCTTCGTTGTTTGTTCGCTCACTACCTGGTTTGTTTGTGCTGGCCGTCTGTATGGTCTATGTGACAAACCCATCCATCTCAGACTTCTCGTTCTACCTATTTCCACTCCGAAACAGAGTTTGCTTCCCGTCTGCCAATTAACGTACTACGATTAAATGGGCGGAGAATTGCACCATCGCTTCAATGCCCATCATTTATTAAACATTTTAATTCCTCGGCAGCTGCAACTGCATGGGAATCCGCCGGAATCTGGAGCACCCGCTCCAAATTCAGCATTGACAATTTTATTTATGATGTCTCCGCTGCTTGCCGCTGCTCCGGTTCCAGTTGGCTGTCCAAAATAAACACGATTCCGCTCGGAGGCGGTGGCTGCACCCGAAACCCAATTGGGCAATTATAAATGGGCGCGATCGGCGATTCGGTCCGGGCTCTGTAAATGTTTTTCCCTGTCGCGCTCTTCGCTTGCCTCGACTTAATTTCTAGTTTATTTAATTTAACTTTTTCTGTTTGGACACCTGTCGCCAGCGATGGTTCTCATAAATCAACGACCAGGTCGATTACCCTCACTCTTAAAGGGAACAAAGACCAAATGCGTCTCTGATACGAAAATACGATTAGATGGTGCATAAAACTCCGACAGCTTTAAAAATTTCAATGCAATGAAATTGAATGGCGGTCATGTGAAATATTTATTAGTTAACTGATATATGTAGATGTAATTCCACATAAAAATAGAAAAGGGAAAATTTGTTTTTCTGAATAGAGAGAGATTAGTTTGGCTTTATTAATTTGTATGCCTTATTTGATCTTGTTTTCATTACCTTTTGGATTACATATTTGCAAATAGATATGTATTATTATTATGTATCAACGACTTGTGTAATAATCACTTAATATTTAACACAACTTTTCATTTAATACAACTAGTTTATCCAAGGATCACCCTGTAAAAATATCACAAGTTCTCTTGTTTTTGCCCATATTCCCTTTCTCTTATTACTGATAAGTGTAGAATGTGCTGATAAGACGATCGTTATTATCAGAGCTCAGTTCTGAAATCGCCGTGCTCGGTACCTGGCCTGTCTTTCAAAAGGGGCAGCGCACTCCAAGGCTAATTGGCCTGGCACGCAAATCCGTTTAGAACGCGCCGCCTGCCTTCCGACTTATAAGCATATATCGCCACAACGTTGCCCGATAAGTGTAATTACGATTGAGTCAGTTTTATAGTGAACCGTTAGCGCCCGAGTGGGTGAAATGTACACGACCGAGATGATGAGTCACATTGACCAGTACCTGCGCCGCATCATCGAGCTGCAGATTCGCGACGTGGTCAAGCAGAATCGCGACAAAGGTGAGCAATAGAAGATCACCTCGGACCCGCGACAAGGGTGGAAAACGCGTGAAAACCCGAAACGAAAATCCTGCGTGTGTGTGCAAATGATGTGAAGTATAATCTGCAGAAAAATAAAAGAGTTTGCCAAAAAATCAAAAGGCTGAAACGAGAAAATGGGCAAAAGGCGGAATGTTTAATGGGCGATTTTTAGTGCGGGAGCAGCCAAGAATCCAGTTTCGGGCTGCAAGGCGTGTCAGGATTGAAATCGAACCACCACCACCATACCCAGCAGCAGCAATAACAACGAAAACAGCCGCTCTGAGCCAATTTCGTTGGCCCTTTTCCTGGTTATTCCTGTTTGACTTCATTTTTACCCAGCTTTCGCCGCAGAATTTTGCATTTTGGAAGACAAAATGTCGACGCGCCGCAATTAACCAAGGACCTCAACGGTGAGTAATGCTCGCTCTCCCCCTTTCTCCACCTCTCTCTGCCGCCTTTCTCTCCGCGCCCCTGCCCCCCTCTTCTCCGTTCTTTGTTTTGGAAAACGCACGAACAAAAACAAATGCAGATGCATCCTCCGAAACGTTGACGTTTTGTTTTGCTCTTTACTTTTCTGTTTGGGCCGCCGGCTTCCGTTTTTTTAATGCGACACCCCAAACACACTCACAAACAATGTGACACTGCCACCCACCCGCTGGAAACTCCCACCCACGCACAGTTTTGGAAGCACTGCCTTTAAAAGTCCAGCCTTGAAGAAGTTTTTTTTCCAACATCTAAACTTTTATAAACACAAATTTTCTATTTTGAATTCCTTCTTATAAAAAAGAGATTAATATAATGGCTTATACCTGGTCCTAAAGTTTAAATCCAAAATATGTTTCTTCAACAAATACAAATAAATTTGAAAACAACTCCTCCTAAAGTTGTCAGATTCGTCAATCTTGGTTAAAGTTTATTACAAAAAATAATGGCTCACAATCATTGAAGGAATTCTAATAGATTACACATAAACAAATTTTAATTACTTTGGACTTAACAGTCATATCTTATACAAAATAATGAATTTCAAATTTGATCACGTCTAGGAATTAAAACTGTTATCTATAAATTTATAATGGATTTTATGTTTGAGTGAATCAAAATTTTGTTTCGTCTAGGAATTAAAAATGTTTATCTACGAAATGATGTTAGTCATTGGAAATTAGGCGCTAATATACTTATATTACTAGCTAACTATACTTTTCACAAAGTTGATACAAATTAAATTGCGTGAAATGTAATTGGGGTAAAAGAAAAACAAAGTCGAAGCTTAAATCCTACCAAGCCTCGAGATAAGTTGAAATAAAAATAAGAAGCAAGTACATATGTAGATGTACATACATATACTATCGGTAAACAGTAAGCCAGCGAGGGTTTCTATATAAAGACATTCAAAAGCTCGATATTGATATCAGTGAATGGGTGAGCACTGTAAACAA